TTTTAAAATGGTCGCGTCTAGTCACTCCTGATTGAAACAGTTGACTGAAAATTCTGATTTGAAAAATAAATATTCTATAAATGACGGATTTTAATTGGATTCCATCAAACTGCAAATAATAGACTTCGGTTTAGAAATACGGATGAAGATGTTGGTTAGAACTATAAAATGAGCTTTGTAAATAAACCACCCAGCTTAGAAAATGAAGCACTGTTAAATATAACTAACTGAGCTATATGTTCACTCTATCAACTCAGAATCAGACAGTCAACTACAAGAGCTACCAAGAATATTTACTTGGAATACGTCCAATAATGCCGTTTTGGACAGATTTTGTCTAGAGCGTCATACTTGAAGTACAAGTACTATATGTATTTATTCCATGAGCTCTATATAAGCCTGTTCTGATAACCTTGTCTGTGAATGGTTGCATTAAGCAATTTCGTTTGATTCAATTATTTTCATATTTCTATTTACTGTTCTAGTTAGTTGGTTTACATTTTGTTTTTAATGAAGCGTTTTAGTCCAATAACGTTACGGTATATTGAGACTTCATAACTTTTACGTACCTGAATTACTCATGCTATTTATCATTTTAATCAATGACACTTAAAAATATGAAACTTTATATATATACAATTATGGTACTGAATTGAAATTTCGAAACAACTAAGATATCGTCAGCCAATTGGTGTTGTTAAGTGATAACTGTTCATGAGATTAAATCCACTTACTTATTGAGTTTTGAATAGTCCTTAACCAAATGTTTTTATTCAAATCTTTGTAATAAACTTTATTTACCAAACAGTATAGAAACGATATTTTATTATTTAATGACATTTTCATATATTCTTTGTTTGTATACATAAATCTAACTGAAAATGAAATTCTTTTACGAAACTGTAACTTGGATATCATTATTAACGGTATGATCAATTCATTTCAATACTCATTAACAAAGAATCCATAAACCAGATGATAAAAAATCCATGACATTAAAATGAACAGATGAAGGCTTTGTATTTATATCATCCACTAATAGAAAGCATTAATGAGATGGTGAAGATTTATAGCTCAGATAGATGACTTTAGTGAAGTTTTGTTCATAGAAGTCTACTTGAAGTTTGTGCTGATTATATTATTCAGAGGAACGGTAAAAGCTTAATGATCAAAGCACTTAGCTCGAAGAAAAAAACTTCATCAAAAATTTATATCTTTCAAAACTGGATCCAAAGATGGTATAACCTTATATCACGTAGAATGTAAAAATAGCTCGGCATTTACTTGACACCGGGCATACCATTGACATTCCGCATGCTTTTAAAATTATCAGCAGACAAAGAAATACGACTGCTCTCCGTTTTGATGAAGTGATCACGATTAAAAAAACTTAAACCGGATTTATGTATTCAAAAGAGACAGTAGTAAACTTATTATTACCCTGGTAATCCATTTTTATTGTTTTATGGTTATTTGTGTTATATTATTCATTTATTTATTTTTAAAAGATTTATTTTATGTTGTATTCCTCCCCCATTACCGAATTCTTAAACCAACTTTTCATTCACAAATTTCCGCCCGCTTATCCTCAGAAATTATGTTAACTTTTCAAACTCTATTCATTTATTACGTAACCTGTCTTATCACTGTTTAATTCCATTAATCCTTCACTACCTCTAAAATTATCACACAATTTATGAACTCCACTCAACTACTACACCACCCATCCTGAATTGTTTCCTTAATTCTAACACCAATTAACCTCTGACCTGTTCTTACATATATAATTATATATATAAATATATATATATATATATATATATATATATATATATATATATATATATATATAGTTATTATTGTAAACCTTTGTCATTCCAATCATTTACATTCATTTATGTCAATTATTTCACACTATTTCTTATCTCAATGTAAAATTCTATTACATATTTGGTTGTAAGCAGCTGACAAGAAACCTCGAAATATTATGAATTCATACTATTCTGCATCAATATTAGTTCTTGCTTAATTTAAATTCATAAAGGGAACTAATTGCATGAAATAATCAGTATGTTAGGAGATAGTTATCCTTACAGATTGAGTCCATTCATGGAACCGAAATGTATTGAATATTTGTTTCGTTCAAGGTAAGAACTCTTAGAAATTTTATTCCTACGATGGAATACTGGATTATTCTATGACATTCAGTTTTCAAAGGTAACACGATATGTTTGAACCATTGATTTGAAATACAATGACTCATATCTATCATCTCTCGAAATAGCATGAAGATCATCTAGTGCCATTTGGTTAGTGACTAATTTTTTAACGACATCGGTAAACTGTATTGCTCACTAAACCATTTAGATACCATCTCGACACTAATACGTACCGGAAAACTGTTTATTTTAGTGATTTATAAAGATTATTTCAATCTGCCAATTCTTCATCAAAGTAAAAAACTACTCGTCATGGGAATAGTAAAATAAAGCAAACTCTTGACAAATTTCCGTTGAATTCATGAAGCCATACTTATGTCATGGTAGGAAATTGAAGCCACTTGATCAAGACATAATCATATCACTTTGAGATTTTTGTTTATATCACATAAGTCTGATCTATCATATATAACTTGTCAGTAACAGGTTGTATGGTCACTCGGTAGCTGATCAATCACAGTTTAAAAATGACTAGATTCTTCCCTTAACCTGCGTATTAAAATCTTTCAAGTTGTTTGGAAAGCTTTGACTACCTACGTCTCTAGAGAAGCTCATTGCATAGTATATTTTCTTCCTAAGACTTATGTGATTGACCGAAAGTTGATGAATGAACGCGCTTGATATATTAAAAGTTCTTTTATAAACTTAAAGTATTATTTTATTTTAGCCTAGTTTAACTGAGAAGTGTTGTGATAGACAACTACCATAGTATTTCAATTAAATAAGTCCCCTCAAGAAGCTGATACATTACGTAAACTATAATGACTTAAAAGCCATATTACTGTTCATCTCCATTACAAATTGAACATGTCGCATTCAAAACAGATGATTTGCTAGAAGGTATCTCGTTACATTTAATGTTATTTTTCTAAAAAGATAAGTTCGGTTTCGTTTTATATATTTGTGTCTGCGTACATTGATCAATACTTAGATTGGCTGAACGAAATAATAAATCACTCTAATTTGATAAATTATTTTGCCTTTTTTGTAAGGACAGACGTTGTTTAGGTTAGCCTCAATAGTTTCTGAATTCAACCCAAACTTCATAGAAGAGGTGAATTATGGCCGGCAATCGAATCTGGGATTTGTATTTCTTTCGATTCGAGATTCTACATCTAACCAAAGTCCAACTCTGCTATGAAACTTGTGCCAAAACTCTTATATCGAAGCAATTTTGACAGGATGTACAAATACCAACTAACACTGATAAGAGTTCAGTCAAGAATATTAATAACAGGATAACTCAAACCCTTGGAAATTAGATTGAGCTCAATAAATGTGTTATGTTCCTCACTTTCTACCGCTTAATGAATGAAAACTGTAGTTAGAGCTTAATTTTTATTAAACATTTAAAATTTTCTGCAACTGACTGTTATGAGCATGGAAGTGTTAAAAACCTGACATGCCAGATGGAAACGACAAATATAGTAAGAAATAGGTTTGGAAATAACATCTTAAATGAAAATTATGAAAGTTCAGTACACAATGCTTTTACTGTACTCTGAAAACACTAAGAATGACACAGGCAGTTCTGTGATAAGAGTCCGCTTTGATAATGATAAAAACCATAATGAATTAAGTCACCAATAATCATTCATTTGAGATCTTTTAAAAAACTAGCAACTGATATTCATAACTATTCCATCGTGGTGTTGTTCAGCTTTTTTTTCATTGTCTCTGGACTTCTCAAACAATTTTTATTGCTTTAAAGGATGCTTCAAGATGCAGTCTTTTCACATATTGACTGGTTGCTTGATCATGTAGAAAATACTCTCTGTTCTAATCACGTCAATTAAATAACTGACAAATTATTTTCTTTTTTGATCTATGAAGATTCACGTTTATTTACACAATGATTTTCACTATTATATTCTTGAAATTAAATTGAGTATAAGATGGATTTACGTTACGAAACTTTGCTACTATTGTTTCATTGAAAGTTTTTTCATATACAGTTTGTATCTCATCATTATGGTAAAGGATTACCTAATAAAATCTTATTAGTAACCATCATATTTACCAGGTATGGATATCAATATTCGTCTATGGTTAATGTTCTGTCTACTTTAAACGATCTCAAATCACTGACCAATCAAAAGTTTGAATGCTACTACCGAGTTCGGAATTTAAATCAGCTTTCGTGAAACCACAAAAGCCATTCAAACAGGTCTTATCCATTATTTATACGCTGATGCAGATCAAATGGGTTTTGTTATGTCTGGAAAGTCTTAATATCAACATCAGTTGTGTACCTAAGACCCTTATTCAAGATTCTGGAGAAGTAAAATGAATCAGCTCTCCTTCTGGAGAATCAAAAGGCCAGTTTCATACGCGTCTGTCCAGGGACCCTATGGTATCTTCGTACTGTTTGGCTGGTGTTGATATCGTACCAAGCACCAAAACGGAGAGAGTGCTAATCGATTTGATCCCCATTATTAGTCGATTATTTACTTCGCAGATTGTTCGAAGGTCGTGAAAAACTTCCTTGCAAGGAGCATAGCGATTTTTGCTGTAGTTGTGGATATTTGTTTTATAACACCTGGATCAAATGATTTATTTCAGCAGAATATTTATATGGAGATTGAAGGCTGGGCAAATACTTAGCTAACTACAACTATGTAACCTTAAAGGATTTAAAGAAACGGCTTTACAAGAATCAATAATCCAAGGTCGATTATAAAATTTGGCAGCTCATACATCGATGTGGTTCACTTTTGATTCATAACACTGCTACGCATGTCAATTGTCTCAAACCAAACAATCACAGAGAAAATAAAATATGAAAAACCGAGTTTTACTTATTCTAGCCTATATATATGTATATAACATTAACTAAAAAGTCGATATTTTCAGTTTCTTACTGCTAATCTGTAATTGAGTAGAATAGTTCTTTTTTTCTCCTTCTTTCTCCGAAAAAAAGAGTATTCAAACAAATAAACACACAAAACAATAGTGATTCGTTTGTTTTAAAGGTTTACAGAAAATAAATAAACATGAATGCACATATGTATGTATGTTTCCAGCGTACATATATATATATATAAATGGAAATTATCTGAAGATTAGTGGGTTAATGTTGTTAATTATAATACAACTATTATTACTATTGATTGATGGGAAAGGATCAATTGTAGCTTCATCCACCTCTCCACAACATCACCTTTGTCATTATTAATAGTAAAATTATAATTTGTATGGTTATTCACCGTAATAAACATTCATTTTATAATCATCAGAAATTACAAAAGTCAAATAAAATCTTATAGTTATCTTCGCATTTTCTACAGATCAACATCAAATAGAATATGCAGTTACATTTGGAAAATATTCGAGGAAACAGTTCAAGAGTATAAACAACATGAATAAACGAACAAAACAAAACAAAAAAACCCAGAACAGAACAGACAATAAGCATTCACACATACACAAAGAGAGAGAAAATATATAAATAAACAAAATTAAGCTAAATAACATAATTATTATGTTACTTAATGCCTAAATACAATTAAACATTGTAATTTTGTTGTTATTTTCATAACTAACACCATAAAAATAAATGAAATCATTAAAACAAAAAAAAAACAAAATATTCAAGAATATAAAACATTAATATTGAATAAATAGAGAAATAGTAATAATACAAAAAACAAATGTGAAATATGTAAATGGTTTATTACTCAAGTGGATGGTTTTTTTGAGTTTAGTTTGGACAAAATTATATGGATTTGTACATGGCAATAATAGTTAAGTGGTTATGATGATAAAAGAGAAACAGTTGATTTACTTTACGTTTTTTTATTACCTTCAAAAAGAGAGGTACCCCCCATCTTCTCTACCTGATTGTCAATATAATGATATTGATAAAATTATAATGTTCAAATAGAGATAACTTATTGAATGACGGTAAACATACTAGTAATGCTAGTAGTAGTGAATTCAAAAGAAAAAGTATATTAACAACGAATTACAGATGCATGTATGGTATACATATAACATCAACGTAAAGGTGATGTGATCGGTGCACAATTAGTCATGGGTAATGCACCAACCGTTACAGTGAATTTATTATTCACTTCTGATGATGGATCATTTAAACTAGGATTGGGTAAACTGTCCGATGGTAAAAGAATATTTGTAGGATTGTCATTAGAACATTGAGTTATTGTTGTTGTTGTTGTGGTGGTTGGCATTGTTGTATCAGGTTGATAATGCATTGTTTGTAGATTCGGTTTGGTAGCAGTCGACCATAAACAAGCATAGCGTTCTCTTAATAACCGCATACAATCCGATAATAATGTTTTATCCCTTTGTGATTTAGCATGTTGACATAGGCCATGAATTAAAGTGATACCAGCCTTATATCGTTGAAGAGACTAAAAAGGAGAATACTTCATTTTAAAAGAATGTTTTTATAATCATTTATTATTATACGACATAAACAGTTAAAATAAGTTTTATTTTCAGCTTGTTTACTCAGATAAGCACCCATGACCAGACGGGGTTCAAAAAAACCAGAATACGAGTCTTTATCAACTAAAATGGTTGGGACATGTTATATAACTCTCATCCACCTCCTGTATTGTCGAACGATTATGTTTGGTGGAGCAGTAGGTTGGATGAAAGCTGAGGGTGACCAAACTAAAACATATCATTAGGTTATGAAGTCACTGACAGTTGGACTAGATCGGGTAAGTAGGTGTGGACCAACTCGGTTGGGTTCTGCTCGATTATCGTAACCAACCACTAGACTTCAGGTGACATGGCTCAGAATCGTTTTCAATGGTACTGGTGCATCTATTCTTTGTATTCTTTATAGTTCATAAGTTTATACACTACCTTATAATTTTCTTTTTCTTAACTTAAACCTGTTAACTCTCGTAAGAGCGTAGCTCACCCATTAGGATTCTCCAACCAACTCTATCCTGGGCTTTTCTTTCCAGTTGCTTTTAGATGAAATCCATTCTCTTCATGTTTGCCTCTAATTTTTAGCGCAATGTGTTCTTTGGACTCTCGCTTTCCCTTTAATCTTGAGGATTACAAGTTAGGCTCTTTTAACTCTATTAATTCATATTTTCTTCTCGAGTCGCACCTTCTATGGCTAATCTTTTCGATTACCACTAATACCTTTAATACAGCCAAAACTGTAGAATTGACCTTGAAAATTTCATCTCACTGTGTTAACTGGGTGTGACAACTTGAAAGGATGCACACGTGCCTCAAGTTCTACGTTGTATATGACCAACTGATAACGGGAATTTCAGTCTTGCTATATATGTGAAAAATTCATTCCTTAGCTTTTACAAAGGTAACATGAATATTAGGTAATCGACTAATGATCACAAACTCGAACTTTAGTGATTTATAGTGTCATAGAATGTTTGAAATCCAAATGAAGGAAGACTGGAGATATTATTATTACGCAATTAGACAGAGTGGACGACGTATAAACAATACAACACTTGAACAACGACAACTACCGACGAGTAATAAAACAGAACATTTATATATAAAGAAAAGGTGACTACATAAGTTACTATCAGAGTATATATAAATTTTGATAAGACAACAACCAATAAAAAATGAGTGAACATTGTATAGGGTTATATAAATTCGGGAAGAAACAACAAAGTTCATACGAACATCCTTAGTTAAATACTACCGTCTTATTGTTATTACTTCCACTAATAAATCCTTATTTAATTATTATGCTTTCAACATTACTATTAACCTTCTAAACACATGCACAATTTAGTTAGCACTTACCATACTTTGTTTATTGAGTCTATATAACTGTTATAACCCTTTATTAAACATCGTATCTGATTTGTAATTACATCATAATTTCTGTTTATCCTATCTTACCCATATTCATTCTGACCATTAATTTCATGATTTCATTTAACGTACAAATTAGCGAGACTATAAATTATGGACGAACCAATCAGAAATAGGATAACAGGTCCTGGATTTTCACGCGAGATTCATCCACTCATTTGGTTAAAAAGCATTTTGAGACTTTAGCTAATGTCAGTTAGTGATGGAAACTTTAAATCTAATTCCTAACCCTAACTATCAATTGTAAATTATAATCCTTATTCTTTACACGGGTTTATAATTCCCATTTAACCCTGGTGATATGGTATATGCTCCTTATGTCTGTCGACATAAGTAGTATGTAACACCAGTCAAAAGTGGAATGTCTGGCAGCAGAAATTTGAGAAGATCGAGTTGAAGAGAACGGGAATGTAAACAGAGAGTAATTGTGATAGCAATGAAGGAATAATGAAGTGTGAGACAATTAATGGAAGATTTACAAATGAAGTATTTGAAGTATGGCTTTCCACATTTTTACGAAGGAACTCGGTAATTTTGCATTGAAGAATGAAATTGGTAGTTCTCAACTGAGTTTTCGTTCACTACAGATATTATGTTAACATTTATTATAAGTTTCACATATTTATGGTTGCATTAAATTTGGTAGCAATTATGAAAAGATAAACGATAAAAAATATTACAACCGATCGGGATATATAAATGAACTGAAATAATTAATTGAATTAAACGGCTAGGGAGCTATAATCACGTCTATATTTAGCAATGATGCTTTCATAAACCATCAATATGACTTATGCACTAAGAATAAACGTTAAAAATGTAAACATACTAATGCGATTTCACCAATATACTCATCCATTTCAGCAGCATAACACTGAAATTAAAAGAAAAATCAGATGACACTAATAATCAATATGCTTGCTATAGAAAACCGCATTAAACAATAAATGGTATAATAACACTATACTAAAGTGTACTTCAAATAACACACATATATTTAAAAAAAAACAGAACGAGAGTTGAAATAATCAAATCTAAACAAAAGATTACTTCTTCAATCGAAAAATAGAATCTCAAAGAGTATGAAGACTGCATAAATATCACTGTAAGTGTAGATATTTACAACATGGATTTTAAATAATAATTTTTTTCCTAATTTACAGTTAGCCTTTCACTAGTAATAAATGATAAAATTAATCTAGGATTGTCAATTTTCAAACAATTCCACAAAATTTCTAAGCGCGTTTTTGATTGAAAGTACTTTCACCTTTGTCAAATATTCCTATCAGGACTCGAAACGAGTACCTTGCTTTTCAAATGTACTACCCATCATTCACTTGGACACTGATTTGAAATAATCATTATCTTGTGTAATGGGCATAGAAGTTAATTTCACTTATTTGAGTTTCAAATAGGACAAAACTTCTAGCCACTATCAAAACCTTGTTTAAAAATGATTGTAAGTTAGTGAAGCCAATCTGATCAGGATAAACAAATCATAAAAGAGACTGATTAGTTGAAGCAATTAATATCAACAACGAAAAGACTTGAATCCTTATAAGTAAAACTGAGTTCCTCAAAATATTTTTACTGGTTATGAAAATAAAATAAAACAAATAATAAAAAGAAAGTACAACTTAAAAAAGGACTACACGAATGGAACGTTAATTTACCTTAGACAAATGTTAACACTAGATACCCTTCCTACAGGACAACTCAGATCAAGAACAAGTGACTAACTTGACTAAAACATAAGTATATTCCACAACAAAAACCGACAGTAAAACCAACGATAATAAGGGTAGGAAAATATATAACTTATATAATACCCGTCAAACTATCTACTAGTCTGACTAAGCAAACAACCAATCATTATTTTCCTCGCCCACAACATCATAAAGATAAAGCATTTTATCGTTTGTTCATGGTACACTCATAAATCTTGATCGACAACACGATTACGAAAAAAGTAATCTATGTTAGGCTCGGCAAAGTCCAAAACCATAGATTACGACCGCCACGTACATTTTAAACCAAGTTCCCCACTTCCCCTTTAATTTATATCAATAATCGATGACCTCATAGAATGATACGTTGTCTTAAGCTGAACAAACCCAGTCTTTTTCCAACCTAGTTTTATGCTAGCAAATATAGAATATCGAGTTTGACGGTGAATAGCTTATGTAAATCATGTTTTTCAAACACTTTAGTTGATAAGAATTTACAGCCCCATCATTTGATGTACTAACTCAAAGTAGCACATTACATTTAGTCATGCTTGATAGTGCTATTATAAAGCTACTTCGGTTTAGGAAATCGAGCAGCAGTACATGAATCTATACCTTGTAAACGAGTAAGCATCAATGAAGAGCACTTAGTCAGGATTCAAAGGTCCATACTTTAAAAGTCAATTAATTTGTGCATATATCAAAACGAAAGTTATTCAGTACTTTTTGGTTTTGAATTGTCCACTAGTTTATATCATTTGATGATGAGAAATAATTTTGAATTGAAAGATCTTTACAAACGTCTTTTCCTAATAACCTCTCTAAGATGAATAAGAAGAAATGATAAAATCAGCACAATATAGTATTTAGACTAGTCTGTTTGTATTATATTAATCTTAAAAATAAGATTGATCCTGTGAATAAATGAAGACTAGGAAATTCGTACTTAGCCTGAACAACACGTGTACAAAGCAATTAAACTGTGAAATATCCAAATAAATAACGAAAAAAAATTAAATGAAAAAAAAACAATGAGAAAACGAACTTGATCCAATGCATATTGAAATATTAAACGATTAGCTGTAATATTAGCTAAAAGTCTACCAACTGGTTCAATTAAATCTTCACGACGTGATTGCCTTGCTAATTGTCTAAGTCGGATATAACAACGATGGTATAATGTATTACAATCGACTAAACCTGAAAAGTACAAATGAAAACAAATAGTTTGTAATAAATAAAAAAAGAATATTACTGAAAAAAATTTAGTCCAGTTGTCAATATAATAAAACAGGGTCAAAGTTGTAAAACACGAAATATGGTATAGTATGAAATAAAATGTAATCAGTTAGAAAGATACTATTCAAGATGATCGATTAGACGAAATAATAAACAAAAATCACTCACCATTTTCCACAAAGTTTGACGCATGGGTTACATGTACATTTTTTACATACGGCTGAAGCGATCGGTATCAACCGTGAAAAAAACATGACCTCAGAGTGCGTGAGAACTTTGTACACCAATTCCCTTACCATGGATAGCAAAATAGGCACTACTAGAGTGGCTGACAAATGAATTATTACACTCGGTATTCTTCCGTCTCTCATTTGAAATTCTTATTCTACTATTATTTTACAGCTGCAACATTATCTTTACGGCTGTGTAACATATTACAATATGTCAACTATCGATTTGGTGAAATGAAAGCTTAGTGGCCACGTCATTCAACCTAAGTTAATTTATTGATTAATATTCCATCAATTCGATAAATACATGTTCCAATCCATTTAGTTACTAGTACCTTTCAATAGTAATTACTTTATTTACTTTAAGTTTAAATTATTTCGTTATTCATTTATAATTAATTCCAAAGACACATTTTGATTTGTACTATTGTTATCTGACATAGTATCATTTGATTAACGTCGAGTTCATCATTATTATTAGGCATACATAATGTTGTGGAGCCACGATGAAAAATTAAGTGAAAAGAAATACTTTTTTGCTAATTTCTTCTTGTTTTCCAAAACAACAATATCTTACGCACTGTTGAACAGTTACTTTATCAAATGAATAGGATAGGCTAATTCAGTAACGAGATAACACCTTTAGTAAGAAAGTTGTGATATAAATGGGATTGGAGTCCAGTTTTTGAAATTCAATTGAACTAAGCCACCTCGAACTAGACCGAAGTATTCAGACAAGGTCATTCAGCATTTCAAGAGAAAAGACATTTAATTAGATGCAAAATAATAGACCTTGTCGGTATAATTAAAACAGAATGAAACTTAATCATTGTTATGAATATACAGGCATGAAATCACGTAGCATCTTAAAAAATTAGTATACCCGAATGCCCTGGTATGACCGAGAGTTGGGTGGCCCCACCGTGCCTCTCGAAATGCTCTCACACGGCCACGCGTATACAGCCTCTGCCAGGGAAGTCCTACTCACTGCCTTCTCGCACCACGGATGTTGTTTACAAAAATGAGAGGACGGAAAGCGAATGTCCGGCGCTTTAACCGGATTCCAAACCAATTTTGCACAAGGTCTCCAGTAGCCTGCGGGAACAAATGGCGTATGAACCAATCGTTGGTCACCGGATACCATGGGAATGCATCTCCTCACGATGCTCCACTGCCCTGTGGGTCAGACCTTTAGGCCCCCTAAGAAAACCACCTGCGTCGATCTGGGCACCCGGGCAGTATCACAGCCCACACACAAATATGATGAAATGTCGATATTTATGGAAAATACAGGTCGCAGGACAGAAAACGGGGACCGTTTACTGCAATTGTGCACAGACCACAACCTGTTTCATGCTAGCACTAACTTTCGGCACAGTCATCGGCGATGTGCCACCTGGCATCCTCCCTCTGCATCTCAAGCTTGGACTCAGATTGATCACATCGCGATCAGCTACCGCTGGCGTGGTTGTGTAAAAGACTGCCGCTCCTTTTATAGTATCTATCTGGACTCTGATCATGCCTTGGCGTGCGCCAAACTTACCTTACTTTTCAGTGGATAACGAAGTGACCGCCACCAACGGATTGATGCTAGCAAGTTGGTTGCAACTTCAGTTGCTGGTAAGTATCGAACCGAGCTAGCTTCTAGGCTAGCTACCATTCCACCAAAAAGTATAGATGAGCATTGGTTGCAATTGCATGACGCCATGAAAATGGCGGGTACAGTCAGTTGTGGGTTCGCGAAACATCCCGCTTATAAGCACTGGGTTTCTTCAGGCTCCTTACAACTCATTGAAGCTCGTCGGTCTATTCCGGGTGACCGTGAGTTTGACCACAAACGAAGGATGTTACGTAATGAAATTGGGCAAAGTTCGCGTAAGGACCGAGAAGCCTGGTGGTCGGAGCGTGCTAATGAGCTGGAGACAGCAGCTGCATCCGGAAGCTCTTCCAACTCATCCGGGCCACTGGCAGCAAGAAGTCTGGTGTGAGCGGAACAATGTGTAACAACTATCGGAGGATAAGTCTACTTCCGATTTCGTCCAAGCTATTGGCTTCCGTCATACTTCGTAGGTTTTTCAAAACCCGAGAAAGATTGACTCGCGAGGAGCAGACCGGTTTTCGTTCTGGTCGATGATGTAATGATCATATTATCACCCTCCTCCAAATGTTAGAACACCATCATACTTATCAAAGGCCAACAGTCGTAGTGTTTCATGACATTAGGGCTGCCTTCAATTCGTTGGATAGGACTGTTCTCTGTGATTGTCTGTCGAAAAAGGGTATGCCTGAGTAGTTTATTAACATTTTAAAAGCCCTATATACAAACACCTCAGGTAAAGTGAGGGCATACAACCACCTCTCTCCATTGTTCCATTCGAGCAGTGGGGTTAGACAGGGTTACCCAAACTCATCATTCCTCTTCAACTTTGCCATCGATGACATTCTGGAAACAGCTCTGATGAACGTAAATAGTGGCGGTTAGGATCTGTTGCCTAGAGAAAGGCTCCTCGACCTTGAGTATGCGGATGATATGGTCGAAAAGTTCGTACATTTAGGTAGCTGCATAAGTGCTGGTGGTGGCGTGAGTGATGAGATCAGTGCATGCATAGTGAAAGCCAGAGTGGCTTATGCCAATCTGGGCCATCTTTGGCGCCTTCGTGATGTCATTCTGGCTGTAAAAGGTCGGATCTACAATGCGTCGGTGAGAGCAGTTTTGCTCCATGTTTGTGAAACCTAGCCTCTCCGAGTTGGGGATGTTAAACGACTCTATGTGTTTGATCATCGTTGTCTCCGAAGGATTGCTGACATCCAGTGGCAACACCGTGTTAGTAATGCAGAGGTTCGGCATCGTGTGTTCGGGCACATTGACGATAATCCAATTGGTTTCACCATCTTGAAACACCGACTTCGGTGGCTTGGACATGTTCTCCGAATGTCGTCCCAGAGAATTCCACGTCGTGCATTATTTGCCGACTCTGGGACTGGTTGGAAAAAGTGGAGAGGTGGTCAGTGTATGACATGGTGTCGTGGTATGAAAGAATGACATAAAGGGCTGGCCTGTGTTGGTCCTTCATGACTCCCTGGCTGGGGTCCGAGAGATGGTGCAACACGGTGGCTAGAGACGTTGTCAGATATGACTCAGAATAGAAGCCAGTAGCGATCCTGCTGTAACCTTCTTTTTCTTTCTTCATGAAACGTGATTGTAACTTCTTTAATTGAAATTATTCTTTCTGGTTGTAGCTTTCCATTTCCCCCATTATTATCATTATTTATACGAATATTCGTCAAGATTTGAATGAATAGTTTGAAAAATTGGGCGCCGATTAAAGAGAAGTCATTATATATGAGAATTATATTTGAAATAATCTCAGCGATTGAAGTTTAAATAATTTCAATGTTTCGTCCAGATAACTTGTCTAGACTTCTTCAGGGTAAGAATCTAAATCCAAATCATCAAAGTGAAGGGCAAGTTACCAAGGGAAGAACAACAGAATATTGTGTATGAGATCAACTGTCATGATTGTAATGCAGCCTATGTTGGAGAAACATCCAGACAATTGAATGTAAGATTGTAGGAACACAAACAATGTTTGAAAAATGTTCCCAAATCCTCGGTTGATTTCAAGAAACTTGAGAATAAATCTGCGATAGCTTTACATGGATTAGAAGCGGGACACAAGATTAATTTTGAGGGGACCAAAATACTTCAGAGAGGTTTTAACATCCATAAAGAAAGATTGACAGCAGAACCGCTGCATATATGGGCGAATAAGAACATCCTGAACCGAAAAGATGGTATTCAACTTGCGACTACCTAGCAAATTTCGTTATGACAAGAAATTTGAACCTTATCTTTATTCAACCTGTTTATTTCACATGCATCGTTATTTTTGACTGATTTCAATGAGTTTTTAAGCAATACAATTCAGGTATTTTATGTGAAAATTATATTTGAAATATTCTCAGCGATTGAAATTTAAATAATTTCGACGTTTCGTCCAGCTAACTTGTCTGGACTTCTTTAGGGTAATAATCAAAGTGAGCTGGACGAAACGTTGGAATTATTTAAATTTCAATCGCTGAGAATATTTTAAATATAATTTTCACATATATTATTATTACTACACTAAATAAATAAATAAACTGTTAGGTATGCAGAGGAATATACCAATAATTATTGTGTTAAGTCTAATGGTGTCCTTGGACGTTAAATGGACATTTCCTATTGGTCGATATTTATTTCACTTGTCAAATACTGTACAAATGTTGTTTTCTATTTTATGGTACGATGTGGTCTGGTTGATTGGTATATAAACAGAGTATGTCTGAAATATAATGATTCATATCTCAGAGGCTGAGATTTGCGTTCTGGACTTAACTGGCTGGGCTAGACCGGGAAGCGGGACCAATCAGAACCCTAGGCCGTCCGTACGTGTTTACGTGTCACTGTAATCGATCGATAAAATGCTTCACTCTAATCTGCACTCACACGTCACAACATAAACCTAGATAAGAATGAAGATAAATGGTGAAAGGAATTAAAACATACTATGACGATGAAAAACCTCGGCAACATCATCGATGAACAAGGAGGATCCGATGTAGACGTGAAAGGAAGGATTGACAAAGGGTAGCATTCCTACAGTTGAAGAACATATGGAACTAAAAACAACTGTCGACTAATATCAAAGTCACAATCTTCAATACGAACGTCAAGACAGTTCCACTGTACGAAGCTGGAACTTGGAGAACTACCACAACCATCATCAAAAATGTACAAGTATTTATAAACAATTATCTACGCAAAATACTCAATATCCGTTCGCTGGATACAATCAGCAACAGCCTACAATGGGAGAAAACAGATCAGCTTTCAGATCAAGAGGAAATTATAAAAAGACGATGAAAGTGGATGGGACATAAATTGTGGAAATTATAAAACTGTATCACAATGCCAGCGTTAACGTGTAATCCTGAAGACAAAAGGAAAAGAGGAAAACCCACAAACACACTGTACTGGGAATCGGAAGCAGACATGGAAGCGATAAATCGAGACTGGATACAACTGGTAAGGATTGACCAAGAGAGAATTGGATGGAGAATGCTGTTGGGCGGCCGTTGCTCCTCCATAAGGAGTAACAGGCGTAAGTAAGTACGACAATGAAAATGAAGTTTGCAGGTTGCCAGGTAAAAGTGAAGCATTTGAAACTATATACGGAAGCTATTTTAGTACTAATCGCGTTTTGAACGTAAAATGGTAATAATTTGTGGTTAAATTTTGAAAGTATGACGAAAAAAATGGCACTTACGTCTTCTTGCAGTGGGTGTAGATTTTAGACGACCGTTTTGAAAGGCTTTTTTAACTTGATCAAAAACATATTCCAAGTAATAAAGAACACGTCGATAAAGTACAATTTGTTCAACAATTCTAAAAGCCAAATTAAAAAAGGCAATACTTTAGTGATAACAAATTGGGGTCTAAAAATTTGAGATGAATGTACAGAGATTACATTCTCGTTCATTAGTAAACATAAGGACAAAAAATTGCGACAATACCAACTTAAAGCAGAGCTGGTAGGTAGCTGGTAGTGGAATCCGGGACACTCTTTACGTCCTATGCAAGACTCGTCGGCTGGATGTACCTGTAACCCAGATTTGATGTTGTCTCTGGGATTTGAATCCAGTGTGTTGTGTGCTACTCGTACGGACAGTTATAAGTAGCATGCATCAGGAATTGAAAGTATGATTCTTACGGACAGAAAAAGGAAATGAAGAGAAGAGAAAAGAAAAGAGAAAGAAATCGAAATAACAACAGGAATAGAAGAACGATGGAGTTGTAGGCGACAACTCAAGGAAGATGTGCAAATAGTATACTTAATGTATTGTTTTCATATTTTACAAAATCTGCGTGTGATTTTCTTGATAGAATAATTTGGTTTACTGTAAACGACTTCGTTCATTACATTCCTTTTCGTCTTGAACGTCGAACAATCCAGATTAAAGTGCTCTTGATATAACGATAAGATCGAAACAATCAGCATAAGATACACAACCACCTGCTTCGGTCTGGGAACCCGCACAGTATCACAGCCCACACACAAATCAAATGACTTGTGTGGCGCATATGTATGCGGCGCCCCTTTGTACTAATATTTATGTGTTAAAATGGATAAATTTAGGTTTAGTGTTCATACACTAATCCCGTTTTCAAAAGGCTAATTTAGTCCATTGCTACTTAAATTAGATTTTATTTCAACCTTAATCATCAACCCTATATAAATTGATACCAACAATATAAATGAGTAACCATACACAATTTTATAAGTTGGGTATTGTGCAATAACCGTGATCAGCGGCTGAAGATACGCACTTTATTTTTGGTTTTTTGAACTATATTAATCTTTCCCCCTATTAATACCATCATATTATTTCAGCACGTTTGTTATTCATCTTGATAATTTCATTGCGTCGGACTAATGGAATATGGCAGCTTCGTATGAAGTATATTTGTGTGAGGCTCTATGCTGATTATTATTAGCTCTGTTTGACTAAACTTTGAGGTTTATATTCCACCATAACTCTAACTCAAATCGAAGCAATTTTAGACGATTCAACAACAACAACAAAAATACTCCATACATTTTAATTTACATTGGGAAAGAGAAGAAAAGTGGTAAGAACGAAATAAATCAGATCTATTCAGGGATTCATTTAGTGAACTAATTCATGACACTTTTTTAGATGCTTTTATGATTACTTCAAATACTATAAAAATTGTCCTTAAATTGGGGTTATCATTAACATGAGTGTCACTTTTTATTTAGCATAGTTTAATGACAATAAGTGCATAATAAATACTGTTTTCAACTGTGAATGGCATAATTGACAAATAAGTTGATTTAGAATGGTTAATCGAAAAGAATTTCTTAGAGTTAATTCAGCTAGACTTGTATAATTATTTATTATTTGATGTAATCTGTAGATTATTCTGCTTAGGTGTAATTTAAATTTTAGGGTCAGACATGAAAATTTTAGGCTTTGAATAAAATAGAATAAGAAGTTTGGATCTTTTTAAACACCATCACTAACAAAACGTTCTTTTAGCAAGTTGGAATGTACAAACCAAAACGTGGCAATAGTCCATAAAAAGTTATTGACTGTTGATTTCAGCCATGTTGGTAGACGTCGACTAGATGATTGGAGTCGGTGTGATAACGCCGATGATTGGTTGGACACATTAGGTAACATTGATTCCAAATTAGTCACCATTTTCCATATCCGTTTACTCCTTATTTTCCTATCGATCTTCAACTCTAGTATTCCTTCATAAATACCTTTTCCAATGTCTTTTTGAACCATATTCTCAATGTTCAAACTTTTGCATTATCATTCCTACCATATTATTTTGATTTCTTTAATTATTCATCTAAATCGTTTCATTTCATCGTGCTTATATAGTATGACGACTTTGGTTTACCACATATATACCGAGCTAGCTCTGTGTTGATTATAAATGACTATGACTAACTTTAAACAAATGAAAAAACTAGTGCCATCTAAAGAAAAAGTTGATGAAAACATGAAAAACAAACAATATTTACAACAGAAATTAGAATTACCAAGAGTATTACGGTCCAAAGTAATAATACTAAACCACTGTATTTATGTAGTTTCGAAAGAGATACCAATTTCATGAAATAGTTGAATCATAAAACTTAACCAAATGTGAATAAAATTGAAACTAATTGCAAAATTCACAAAAATATATGCACTTAGTTGTTAGAACTCTTTACTCGAATTTCATTACATAACATACCTTTGAGCTTCAGACACGAATTTCAATGCAGTGGATGATGCTTGTTGACAATTTTTGCTTGAATCCTGTTCATCATTATTACCATTATTACTATAACTGCCAACAGAATGATTATTATCAAGACTATTAGTATTCGACGAACATTTAGTTTGTTGATTGTCCAGCTTAACTAGTGATATACCATCATTAGCAGCAGAATGATCTGTAGTGGTTGTTTTACTATCATTATCTGTATTTACAACACGTGTTGGAGTACAATCAGCTAGTGCAGATGCTCGACGTTCAGCTAATTCTGCTAATAATTCACACAATTCTAGGACCATTGTAATTTTCTTAATTTCTTCATTATGTTCGGACTATTTAATTAAATAATTCATAGAAATCAATAAAAATGAAAGGAATTTATGTCTGTTTTTTATTTACTGAATGGATATTCTGATGTTGACTAAAAACAAAATTATCAATAATGTAAGAAAGTCTAAAGACAAAAATCCCAACTACATCCGTTTTTTTTCTGTTATTTCAAAGAAAGATAATTTTACCGGCTAAAGTTATACGTAACGTTCCAAACGTTGAAAAAGTGCGTGATATTAATTAGTTTCAGTCATTTCTTTTTAATTTAATGAGTGAGTTTTACTACAAGCCTCTAAAGTTAACTCCAGCTGTTTATCATGAAAATGTCAGTGTAATGCAGTAAAACATGCCAGGTGGTAATGGTTACGGGTTGAAATGGAACCCCTAATGATATATATATATATATATATATATATATATATATGATAAGAGTTCAAAAAAGGTGATTCGACTAATGAAATACATAGCAATGAGTGCTATAGTTGACAGATTTATCTTAATTCTGGATTACGATTCAATTGATAGTTGACTTATCTTTTTAGGAGAAAACGATACACACACTTAGTGCAAAGTGCTTCTTACCTCCCAAGAATTCATTTTCATACCACAAATAACTTTTAAACGAGAATTGGTGAGAAACATTCTAGCTAAATTTTTGAATTATTAGCAGCAATTACATTTAATAATTTGTTAGCAGCAGGGATTTGAGATAATTGAGTTTCAAAGTTTGCACTACGAACTGACCCTCGTCAGGCAACCGTTAAAAACTAGGAAGCTCTGGGCATCTGCTTCATCCTAGTATAAGACTATCATCAATGAGCAACCACAACTCCGTTGGGGATAGAACCCAGAACCATTAGGTGTCTAAATGGGAGCTCATAGTTATGACAACTAAGTTGATATCCAATTCTTCAATTTCATAACTTCAGATAATTTGCGATATTACTCGATCATCAACTGTTCCCACCGGAGATATTTGCTTCACCATGGATATGGATAGACTCTTCTGTTCACAGGCTTTCAATAAAAATAATTGCAGGAATTACCTTACGAAGCTTTTGGTTTCGAATGACTGTCTAAAGTTAGTAAGTGATGTAAACCGTAAAAAATAGATTTTTATTCCATTTCGAAGAAGTTTATAAAACAACATAAGAATATCATACACACAGTTCCCTTTATCATTTTGAAAAGAAAAAGAACAAAGATTCTAGCAGAATGTTTGTTCTTTCTTTTTTCAAAATAAAAAAATTATTAGAGGAAAATGTGTTTCAGTCATTTTTATTCTAAAAAGGTTGAATTTATAAGCATAAAACAAATGGATTATTGAAAAAAAATCTATCGAATGAACTGCTAACCTCCATTAAAATTTCATCTGAAAACTCTGCAGCTTCCCATAAACCACCGGATGTTAAATCATTCTCAAAATTTCTACCTGTAGCTAAGAAGAAAGAATAAACACAATGACTAAATAAACAAATAACCAAAAGAAATCCTGTCTATAAATCTAAAAGATAGGAGATTCTAAAAGAATTCATTGAACGACAGATATACGCACAAAAAAAGGGTCCAGTAGCTATAGCTATAAATATATATAAATTTAGGAAAAGAATTAACCATAACAGAAATCTTTAGTTTAAAAAGTTCCATTGACAGGGTTTTACAATTTTTGGAAGCTTAATGCATTTTGAAGCCCTTGGATTGAAACTCAATAGAAGATAAATTTGAACAATACGGAAAGCACTCAGAATGAGAAAAGAGCAAGTGATAAAAAATTCTTGGTTTGGCAAAGAATGTACCGTTGTGCTGCTGTCAGTCCAGTCAGTCAGTAACAACGTAGAACTTCGTACGTACGTACATCAGTTCAAATTGATACACCACATTACCACAGAGATGCAGTGGTCGATTCAAATCCCATAGTGGTAGAGGTGATAAGAGTATAAGCAGTAATCGGGAAAATTAGTGTTTGGAGATGTTATTTAAAGAGTATAATACAGTGAAATAAATTTGGGAAGAGAAAAAAAAGAGACAAGGAGGAATAAAGAGATCAAAATTTGGGAGAACACAAAGAGTGTATGCACCTGCGCCATTGCAAACGATTTTGAGCCATGTCATTCAAGGTCTCTAACCATCGGTTGCTATCATCTCGTGGTCCCCAACCACGTAGTCTACACCTACCAACATGACTCAGTCCACTTGTCAGTGACTTCATGGACTTGTGCCATGTTTTGGTCTGGCCGCTCCTAGCTTTCCTCCAACCTACTCCTATACCACTGAACATAGCACATCGAAGCAGACGGTCGTTCGGCATACGTAACACGTGTCCCAGCCATCTCAACTGATGAAGTTTCACTACTTCATCAATTGATTTGCCATCCTTACCTAGTACCCGTTTCCTAACAACTGTGTTACTTACTCGATGGTCCCAGGATATACGAGCAATGTTTCGAAGACATTTATGATCAAATACCAGTAACCTACGGATATCCTCTACTCTTACCAGTCATATTTCACAGCCATAAAGTAGGACGGAACGAACTGCTGCGCAGTAAACCCGTCCTTTGGTTGATAGACGGGTATCTCGCCTACACCATAAATGACGCAAGTTGGTAAAAGCTAGTCGAGCTGAGATTTCGTCACACACCAGACCACAGAGGCTGGTGAGACTTACAAGATAAGTGAAGCGATCGACACGCTCAATTACTTCACTCCCTATCACTAGTTCGAGTGTCAATGTAACCCAATCCTGAAGCAACATTTTACATTTCGAGGGGAAGAATCGCATCCCGAACATGCTTGTATTGTGTTACTTATAATGCAATAGTAAACAAAACATGTAAACCGATCAGTTATTAAAGCGTTTTAGGAATTTCGAAAAAGCACCAGCATGGATAATGTTGTTTCCAGACAGTAATAATAAACAAAAATTATGGTCTACGAATCCATGAATTATTATTATGGTCTGCTATTCAATTAGTGTACACACTGAAATATTCCAAATATTCAAAACGGTTGGGATGATAATGATGATGATAACAGCAATGATAATAAAAGACTGTATGATGACCGATAAGCCTAAATATTAATTCCATTTAAGCTTACTAATTGAGAATATTATTTAGAAATACTTCAGTGATTATGCGTTGGTGTCTTAATACTTTTACCAAAAAGGTGATAAACATCGTTGTACATTATTTTGATCACACCAGATTAAAGTAGGTTAATTTAATTCATGGAGTTTTGCACAAAAATGAAAGCTTACCGATAACAGGATAAACACCATCTACACCTTGAACAGCGATAGTTTGTAAACCAGAAGGATGAATAAATTGTCTATTGTTAGTTTGATAAGTAATTTGTTGTAAGGTAGTTCCAGTTTTACTCAAATTTAAATTACTCATCACAGGTTCCATATAGGATATTTTCGGTTCAGTATTGTGATGAGGAAGAGATGACAAGTTCCCTTCATTAATTTGAGTTCCATGAGATCTATCTTCTAACAAAAGAATTTTCGACAAAGACCATAGAGAAATAATCGTCAAAATGTTGTCAAAATGAATAAACTAACTTTCGTTACAAAATAATTTTATAAAAACGTAGTATAGAAACCAAAAAACGGATCATATATATATAAGACGTGTCAGAAATTACAAGATTATTGAGGCCGTTTGGAAGTGGTGTACCACACAAACCAGAAAAATCACTTCAATCAATCCTATGCAAACCAAAGGAGGAAATAACAAAGGAAAGAAAAACCAGACATCATCTACAAAATAAATTAATCCGACTGCAAAAACCACTACACTGGACAAAGCGGACGACCCCTTCATCTCCACATGCACGAACACCAATTAGCACTCAAACACCATGACATATCCTCACTTATATCAATGCATCTGGACAACTGTGAACATACATTCAACTGGAAAAATGTTGAAATCTTGGACGGAGGTAATACTAAAAGCACCAGGGAATTTTTAGAAGCCTGACACTCAGATCAATCAGTAATCAACAAACACATCGAAATTGATCTAATCTACCAACCAATCAGAAAAATCATGGACAAATATAGGACTAATGATCAGATCAAAGGGAGATACAATCAAAATAAAGAGGCAGACAACGACAGGTTAAGGGTCAATAATAACCAACCGAGATAGAGGTAGACAGGACAAGCTGTGAGTCGTAAGTGTAGAAATTCGAACACTTCACTTCTACCTGACGTTAGTGATGATGATGTTTTTCAGAAGAACAATGGAAGCTCCGTGACCAAACCATCCAGCTCAGAAAACAAAACTCCACCTAAATCATCCACCTGAGCTACAAATCCTCTCTACCATCTCAAATAGCATTACATACACACACTACTTGCCAACATTATATGATTGAACTTATTACTATTCATACGAATATCTTAGTGTTTCTTTGAAATCAATTTCTCTTGAATTGGATAGTAACTAACAGTAGAATGCAAAACATCTATTTTGTTATATATGTAACTCTTATTTGTACATCCAATTAAACACAAAAGTAATGAAAGTTTTAATCTGTTTCTTAATAAAATTCAACTAAAATATGTCAAAGCAAAGAAATTGAGAGGAAAATATTTGTTTTCAGTTAATTAATTATCAAAGCTCTATATTAAAATATAAATTTTACAAGTAAATATAAAATCAATATTAAATGAATGGTAGTGAGTCAAGTTAACAATATCATAATCAGTTAGTAACAGTTTAGAATAGCAAATAAAAATAGGATAATCATATAACAATCTACAATTTAACATCATAGAATGAATTCAATTAGACAACTAATGAAAACTAAGAAGCATTTGACAGCAATTTCATCTTAGTATCAGACTTCGTATCAATTTGAGTTTATGAGCCCACTAGGTGGTTGAACTCAGGACCTTCAGACCTCATGATGAGTGCTTACTTAACTTTTGAACAACTGAGTTGACGTCCAACGGTTGTCAATTTTAAGTTCAACCAATTCTTGATATTGTTCAGCCATTACCTGTCACCATTAGATATTCGTCCCATACTCGATATCTATTGGCTTGTGGAATAATTATGCCACCGTAAATCTATTATATGGTATTTTGTGCATATTTGACTTAAAGCTTATCATCATCTCTTTTGTGATTGTTGACTATGCTATATTGGTTAATGTTAAACTACAACATTCGAAACTAACTGTTACAGTATAATTAAATAGATGTGTTCAAAATTTAGGTGATAAAAAATACTTAAAGTCAGTTCATTATATCTTCTTTGCAGATGAAAAATAGAAATGACCTGGTAAGTTTTTTATCACTAACAAAGTATGTGACAGTATTAGGTTTTATTAATCGAAATAAGGAGTAAAGCTTTGGTGATTTGCCTTGAAAACACCTAATTCACAGAGAAATATTTTCATTCATAGTAGCCTATAATAACGACATAAATTTTTCGAAATTAAAATTTCTTGTTGAAATCTTAAGCTAAAATGAGTTAAGATCGATAACGATTAACCTGTTTCTTGGTTAATCTATCATGAGTTAGAGCCTAACATTCAATAACTCATATAAAATTCAAAGAGTAATACATAGGGAACTATCAAAATTTATTGGATCTTAATGACAACAAATTAATAGATCCAATAATTTGAACACACGAATCACTACTATTGGAACTAGACATTTACTATTTAACAGTTTATTCCAGTATAACAACTGCTTAAACGAATCTATCAAGCCTGAGAAACAATAAAAGGATAAAAAATCTAATGTGATCAACCAGATTTTCTCTATAAACATTAAAAAAGGTTAAAAACAGTTACTGTTAGTAGAGTAATACTTATCATTAAAGCTAAAATTATTTGTATGGTAAACAGAGTTATTTTGTAATGAAAATTATCCATTTTATCTGCATAAAAGATAATGAAGTAAACTGATATTTCAAAATAATAAAATAGTATTTTACAGGATCAATGTCATGTGGACGAACAGTATCAGAGGGAGGGAGAGAGCGGAATAGGAAAAATCCATTTTTTGTGACTATATCGACATGATATTATGTCGTTTGAAAAAATCAACACATTTGGTTAACCGAAATAACTTCAAAGAAAATGCAAGTAAGCCAGAGAGAGAAAGAAAAGAACATTTGTAACTATTCTTTAAAAAAAAACATTCACTTCACTAATCTCTTGCTGAGTTTTTCAAGACCATGGCAGTTTTTGTACAGAACATGATAAAATAGTATTCATAGAAAGATAGTATAGTGAAAACCAATTAATCACAAATTTTACTGAAGCATTCATTGAACAACAAGAAAAACGCAAACATAAAACAATTTTAATCACCAACAGAAATTAACTATTAATCATAATTAATACAAATATTAGTTGACAGAGGATAATAAATAAACAAATAAATAAATACTAACTTGTATAATCGGTTGATCCCTTGTTTGGTTCTGATATAGGTTGAGTATTATACTTGTGACTAGTTGGAGAATTTCGAGAATTGACTGGCAGCTAAAGGGTAAAAACAAAAACTATGTCAAGGCAATAAGCACATCTGGACATAAACATTATTAAGGGCATGAATTATTCTGTTGTTGCTATTTTGGACTGTATTTTGATTAGTTGGGATAATTCATACCCTTACTAATAACGATATAAATACAACACCAGTTTAATAAATCAGTGGCTATCCGGAGTCACTAGCTAAGTGAACAACCAGTGGAAGCATGAAGTTATGGATTTTGAAAACAATAGAATACATCCCACGTGAACGACAGAATTACGTTGATATCAAAGGAAAAGCAACAGTAAAAGGTGAATGTATATTGTTTGAACACAAACATGATTCACAAATGATTTCAACTGAATATATGTAGTAAGGTTAATTACTGTCAGCTTCGATAAACACAGGAAACTTTTACACAATAAAACACTTCCATAAAAGTATAAAATTTGTTACCTTTATACATAGGGTCTATAAGTAACCCTAAGTAAACTTTAGTAAATAAATCCGCACACAAATATTACAAATCAAGTAAAGTATATAAACTACTTGACACAATATAAGTAGATAAATGAGTTATACACAAAAAGATTTTCGAACTAGAGCAAAGTGCAGGATGAACTCGAACAGAAACTAGTGATTAGTTACGTAAAGCGACATTTATTACAATTTACTAACGGTACTTATCGTAGTAATAGCATGTGCTTCAAACTACACATTTTGAATGCAGTTATTAGATGACTTAGATAAATAGTCTTGAAGCTCTATTCACATGATAATAATGCACACAATATAAACGGTATTTTTGTGGTTACAAGTTACCAGTTGATGTCAGTTCATGAAAGTCTCTTTTAAATGACTGGAGAAAACAACTTTTAGAAGAGTTTCCTATTAAAATAAGTAATCAAAGGAGAGAATTGCATATTATCATGTACCTACCTGATTTAAGTACTGATCAGCTAATTTATTATTTACACCATGTGGAATTTCGTTTGTATTTAAGAGAGTGGGTGAAGAGTTGCGATGATTATCATTCAGTAATTGATGATATCGCGTATCTGTTGTATTTGTACCAATAGTTACATCTGGGAGTGGACCAATATCTGTCATACCTCTACGTTGAAGATTATTATTATTTGTAAGATATGCTCCAGGATTACGAACAATTCGGCCAACGTTACTCATATGTGAACTGGGTAAAATAAGAGAAAAGTATTAAAAATAAGTAACTGATGGTAAATCTATCTTATTCAAGTACAATGAGAAAATTTTTAACCGGTTAGTTATTTACTAGTATATGGCTTTGACTCCTAGGAATTAGGCAGCTAGAAATTATAATTAGCCCTTACATAACAAATATAACCACAGTTGATTACAAAAATATTGTTCCTGTCATTATAACCATTATTAGTACTCACTTCTACTGAAAAATAAATTATTTTAGCATATCATCAATAAAATAGCTATAATTACAAATATTAATGAAAAAAATATTCATTGAAATTGACCTACAGTGGATCAGTCGATTGATTTTGTTGACGGAATCGTTCACGATCTATACGTTGAACTTCTTAACCGCACAGTCGGCAACAACAAAAATACATAAAAGGGACGGAAAAAGAAGCTAATGAAATACAGTGTAAGAACATGAGAACATAAAAATTCTTCAAGAAATTGAATATTAGTAGTAATACTATTAGTAGACTCCATACATCCAGCATCTGCCTATCTATCAATTCATTTTTGAGTAGCTTCTGTGTTCTTTAAAACCGTTATTTTGTTTCATTCGAGGAAAAAATTGTTACTTAACTGTAATTTAAGGTGCTGAAATTCACTTTCTAAAATCACCATGAAAAAACCCTACTGAGGAGACACATACTGGGACGAAGCAGGTGTATATAGCTACTTAATTCAGTCGGTTACAACGTAGGAACAGGCACATATATGCAATTTAGCTGGCCTTCAGTTACTCTACAGCTACCCACCATTTCCAAACACCCTGAATGGGACATTGAAGTAGGCCCTCGAGTCTAAATGAATTTTAAATAAAGCTACTTAACTATTAAAGATTTACCTATCGACTGATGTCAATCCATTATGAAAACTAATTTTCATAAATTTCGAAATACTAAACGTTAGTGAAAGGCAAATATCGTTGCAAAATCAAAAAATTCATGAAAGAAAAGACAAGTTTCATAAAGACACCATATAGTATACACAATATTCAATTTACAATCGTTAGTCATTTCTGTGGAAAGATAAAGAAAAATATTGAATCGACAAATTCAGTGTTTTGATAAACATAAAACTTTTCGTGTGAGTCAAACCAAGCTTAATCGACACGAAATGAAACTAACAAGATGAATACCAAAAGAGTTTAAATAATTGTAGTAACACTCACAGTGAAAAAGATTGGACATTAGAGAATGTAATTTGAAAAGAAATGAAAATGTAAGTATGAAAGGACATAACTCTATAAATTACTTATTCCTAATCCAGCCAATGTGATTGAGGATAACTAACGTACCCCAGACGTACACCAGATACAAAAACAAACTTACAACTTATAAAACTAAATTTATATAAACGACAGTTATTTCTTTTAGGTATAATTGGCTGTTAACTAATACACATGAATATTATGAGATAGGTTTACCTGAACCATCTGAATTTACAATAACATAATCTTCAAGAGGTGGTTCACCATATTCCATCTCAGCATTCATATACACTCCACGTTGATCAAATCGATATGCAGTTGATCTTTGTTCATCTACATTAAATCCATCCTGTCTTGTTGGTACTGATGGTCGATAATTGTTTGATATATACTGTTGTTGATGATTAGAACTATAAAAGTTAGTGTTAAGATTATTTTGATTATCTGTAGGGTATTTATTAGAATCAATATGCATAAAATCACGTGGTTTTACTGAAGGCAGTTTAGGTAAGTTATTTTGGTCACTAGATGGTGATGAACTGGATGCATCTAATTCATCTTCAATGTATTCATCGACGGTAGTTTTCGTCATTTCATCATCTATATCGTCTAGACCATAGCCTGGATCATCATAATTATTGAAAGGTATAACACCAGCTCCGGTATGTTGTGGATAGAATGGACTGAAATCACCTGTTGAGTGTTGTGATGATGGTGATGATGAAGTTGCTCCAGATAAAGGTTGTTGTTTGTTGCTTGTATTATTTGACCAATGTGTTGGATTAGTCCATTCACGAGGACCGTTTGATGAACCAGGTGGATTATTAGATGCCTGTGTATATACGAAAAGTATACGTTTAAAAGAAATGTAATACAGGATATAAGACAATAGATGGTAATTGTGGTGAACATTGGTAAATAAAATAATTGTTGCATTAGTAAGTTTTACTTACTTATTGAGGTTTTGATAATATTTTAATGATATTTTTTCTAATATAGATATTAAATTGATTTCGATATATATATCACCGAATTATCTATGTAAAGTTAAATAAAATAGTTAGGGAGAAGTGTTCTCTTTATGAAGATATTTCCTTTCATGAACTTATATCGACTGGAGAATCAATCAAAATTTGGCAGTAGTAGACAATCATTTTATTTTAGTTTGAAATTTTCCAACGATCCTTACCTTCTATTTCACATAAGAATGAACACAGAAATTTTAAGTTTCACAGTGAAGAAGATACTTTTAGAACATCCAAAACAGACTCCAAAGGCGCACATTTTTTATCTCGACGGAATGGCGGTATAATACACCACAAACATCTCAATAATAATAATAATAATAATAATAATAATAATAATAATAATAATAATAACCTCAATCAATAAGTAGCACCAAAATCGAATCGCGAACATTTATTTATAAACTATGAAGAACAAAGTCAATAAATTTGGGAGTGATTAAATTACCCAGCAATGATATTTCACAAAGATCGCATTATATCACAAACTGATTGAAGCTGGAGGCGGGACCATCGAAACTTGGTCAATAGCGTCGTGGATACCACAAGAATTAATGATCATATTTTCAATTTTCAGACTAGGATTAAATGATCATTCACTTCTAAATGGTTTTCCTTAGTTCTTTAATTGATACCAGTGTACATGGTGACAACTATCCCCAGATATACAAATATGACTAAATGGCTTGTGAATTTAACTATCTATGCTATATTGATAGTAGTGAAATTGTTGTTGTACAGGCCACATTGTCTTGGTTGCTTTTTCATAAGCCATTAGAATTATGGAACTGGTGAATGTATTACCATTTCTTTATAAAATCCATGCTTACATGTATGATACCATGTTTGCGATGAATAACTAAAATAATTTTTATTTAATATTTAACGTGTTATCTGACTTTGAACAAAAAGGATAAATTGTCTTAAATTCGACTGTTGTTTTTTATTGAATAAGGATCGGTAATGCAATGAACGACTTATGGAACGAGAGGATTTATAAAGTATTGGGACCGGAGCTACTTAATTTTCATCAATATTGTACATATTTTATCGCATTATCGCTATAGACAATACAAAGACTTCGTTGTTAGTTTGTAATATTGATTGACTATGAATACACTGGATTTATTGTACTATTTAACACAAAAGCAGTTAAGATGTAGACTGGTTATTAGGTAAAAACAGAACGCTATAGTGACTTTCACGTACAAAATATTGACGCGAAAATCTAAGACTCATCTGTGTAAACAATTAGTTTAATAAAACGGAGAAAATATGGAGATATAACTAGTTTTATTTATTTATTTGAACACATAAATATTGGTACAAGGAAGCACCAAATACATATGTGCCACACAATAATAATGACAATGGGAAGAGAAAAGGAGAGTAAGGTGCGTGTAGAAAGAAAAAAAAGGAAAAATAACGACCACAAATTAGTGCATGGCAATGAAATAGTGATAATAGTGGGGGGAAAAAGGTACAATCAGAAAGAATTCTTTCAGTTACTAACATAGTGTTGCCACTGGATGTCAGCAATCCTTCGGAGACAACGATGATCGAACACAGAGAGTCGTCTAACGTCCTCAACTTGGAGAGGCCAGGTTTTACAAGCATAGAGCAAAACTGCTCTCACCGACGCGTTGTAGATCCGACCTTTTACAGCCAGACTAACATCGCAAAGCGGCCAAAGATGGCCCAGATTGGCATAAGCCACTCTGGCTTTCACTATGCGTGCATTAATCTCATCATTAATCATCACACTCACAACTTCTATCTGGTCACCATCCAGGGTGAGTACAGGATTAGATTTCTGCCGGTCTTGTAAAAGTACCTTGCACTTGGAAAGTGAAAAGCACATATCGTACCAACGGACATTGATTGCCAACTGATTAAGTGCGGATTGCCTGGTTTGGGTATTAACGCACAGTAAGACAATATCATCCGCATACTCAAGGTCGATAAGTCTTTCTCTAGGCAACAGATCCACACCGCCATTACTTACATCCATCAGGACTGTTTCCAGAATGCATTTCACTGATAACTGAGAGGATAGAGCTTTTTCCAGTTCTGAAGTGAAGATTTCACAAAGCGGCGGCCTGCTTGAATATCTGGGTTACCTGTTCCTGCTATCTAATTATTTCAAGAAGTTATCTGTTTTTCATTTTGTTTTAACCTCTCATTATGTCCATTAATCGCATAACCTATAAAGGCGCGTTTATGAAAAGCCTACAATCTTTCGCTGCACAAGTTACAAAAAAGTACTATAAAAGACATCGTGGTGGTTAGTAACATGCGTTAAAGAGAATGAACATCAATCGTATGTCGATTCTCGAGCTGCTAAATTCTAACTGCCGATTACTAATCAACAAACTAGACTATCTTCAATTCCTACTAAGTCGAAATACGCATCGTAATTGTAGTGTCGTCACAATTCAAGAATCTTGGTCAAATGATTCACAGGACGACTGCCTAGCATTACTACGTGATTGCAAAATTTATCGTCAAGATCGATCAAACAATAAAACGAAGTGTAGCGACGGTGTAGCTACGTTTGTAAACGTGAACTGGTGTCGATCTTCGTTTGCGTGTTTCAAGTTTTCAAATGAATTTATCGGCTGTCTAACTCTAAGATGTCGTCCATAACACCCGAATAAATACAAATATGTTTATGTTACCAATATCTACGTGACTCCAGACTGCACATCATCTGCGCTATCTGTTTTCGCTGATGAATTCACTGAGTTCTCTGTTACTGCCTTCAGTGATTCACTTTCACTTGTATGTGGTGATTTCAATTCATATGACTGTAGCTTCCTTACGTCACTAGGTCACCAAAATGTAGTAGATTTTCCTACCCCTTGGGATGCTCATTTAGACTTCGTTTTCATTAATGATGTGGGTATATATGTGACTCGTAAACTTGCTACATTGTCTAGCTCGGATCACTGTATAATTCGTGTTTTACCTAAAGTACATGGAAAGCATGGGAAGAGTATACTCTTGCATCAAACCGAGAAAGTCAAATACAGGAATTACTCAGAAGAAAATATCCGAAATCTGAAAAACATGTTTCATACGACTAACTGGGAATTAAATACAGATGACTCACTGGAAATCACTACTGATGTTATGTAGGTATGTGGAAACTCTTTAAGAACTTACAGGTGACAGACAGATTAGGAGCGATAACCAGCTGAATGTTTGCGACTTAAATAAGTCTTTTGCACGTCAGTCATCTGATGTAATGCTACCTTCGTCCACAGGTTTAAAGAATAGCTGTGTTCCTAGTTTCACTGAAACTGATGTCCGAAGATGTCTCCAGTCACTCAATTCATCCCGATGTTTACGACCTGATGGTATCCCAAACCTCCTTTTTAAAAATGTGCTGACGTCCTATGTTATCCATTCACGACTTTCTTGAACAGATCCTTCTCATGTAATCTCATACCAAAAATGTGGGGAAAGATGAAGATAATTCCTGTACCCAAGAAAGTATCTGGTGATAAGAATGTGAAATTTAGACCTATTGCAATAACTTCACCCTTCCTCAAAACCATATAAAAATTATTGACACTTCCACTTCAGCCTGCGATAAACGAGCATATTGATCCGTATCAGTTTGCTTACAGATGCAAAAGAAGCACCTTAGATGCTGTTGATGTTCTGCATCATAATATAGTGTTCAACTCAGAAAAGGGTAAGAAGTACGTTCGATGCGCTCTTCTGGACTATACTTCAGCTTTTAATTCTATACCAAGACAACGTTTAATTAACAAGTTAATCAGCGTCAACACTGACAGCTGGGTAACCAACTGGCTATGTTCCTACCTCTCTGGAAGGGAACAGTACACTGTATTTGGAGGAAAGTGTTCAGAGTCTCTACTATCTCATGAAGGTGTACCACAAGGAGCTGTTCTTTCACCTCTTCTTTTCTCTTTTTTCTGCATGATCTGCCATCTTCCACAGAAAACACATATGTGAAATATGCGGATGATCTCACTGTATGTATGCCTATCTCTTCCTCTTTACATCCCACAGAAATGAATGGATTTTTGTCTCGTATTGATTGTTGGCCTGTTGGTATTGGTCTTACGCTTAATCCGTCTAAATGTCAAGCTGTTAATTTTAGCATGAGACATGAACGGCATCTAAACACCATTTTGAGATCCCATAATCCTTGTGCCATTGGAGACTCTTTCATAAACACAGTGTCGAAGGTCAATTATCTTGGTGTCACCTTTTTCGCTGATCTCTCTTGGTCTTCCCATGTTTTATTGTTATCAAAGAAGGTTTTCCGTCTGACCTACTACATAAAGAGATTGCATGCGCTTGGGATTACTCGTCATTTACTCTTACAATTTATCAATTCTTGCATATTACCTATTATTCTTTACTGTTCGCCATTATTCTTTCCCGGGCTTTTGAGAAAAGACTTTGCTATATTGCGAAGAGTGCTGAATGCAGATAGCAATGTGTGTGGTGAATCTTTCGAGGTCGTAAGTAATATGGTTGTGGATAGACATCTAAAGTCATGCAAAATCCTGGCAGGTCTTATTTTATCAGATACTAACCATCCCCTTCACTCTTATATTTCTCCTTGTATATCTTCTGGTAGAACGAGACGTAATTACATTAAAATCCATGCACGCAATCAAAAGCATAAAAGTTCTATAATACCTCACCTAGCAAATATACTCTGTGACGAACAGGTTGTTAGAGTTAACCTAGTCAATAACCTGCATTCTTATGTTTCTAATTTGAAAAGCTCTACAGTTTTTTCAGATTTTTTTAAACCTTTTTTTCCCTTCTTTTGTCTTTTCTTCTGTTTTTGTGTAAAAGACTTGTTGAAATACCCTGTGCTGAGAATTTCTATGTTGTAGCAAAATATGATATTGAATAAAGCCATTAATAATAAAAAAAACTAAACACTAAAATAAAATAGTTCACATGAAACGCGATTTCTTCAAAACTAATAATGAAAAATTTGTAAACTAAATTATCGTAAGATCTTAGTAAACCATGGCATAAAAATGTTTGATATACGCACACAATAATATAACAGATTAAGTTTAAGAGTAAAAACTTCTTACTTTTCCTTGAGGTGTTTTATCTCTTCCACGATTACCATCTTGTGGAGCAAGATAATATGGGCCTTCACCAGTTCCTTGGCCAAGAACAGTAATTCCAGAGCCTCGAACTGTTGGTCTGTTACGACTAGGTAGGGCAGGAGCAATAGATGATCGTGTTGCAGATGACTCTGGACCAGAACCAGCTTATGTGTATAAGAAAGACAATTCACACATTATTTCGAAATTTACATGAATTTATAATTAACACTTAAATGTTTTGTTTCATAGGTTTGTTATTAATTATCTATCAAAATGCAGGTATTTAGGCATAGAAATTTATTTTGAAGACAATTCTTGTATAAAGATCCAATTGAAGTACGGTTGATGCGGAATGTAACTTCACTTGAATAAAATCTCTCTATCTTTGTACAAAAATGTATACATTAACTGGTTATAATCATTTCTATGGTTACCAAAATACTAAGTTGAATATACATGAGAAATGCTACACATATTATTAAAAGTACTCATTAAATTTAGGCCAGTTAATTCAATGGTGAAAAAAAGGAACAGTATTATATGGCTAGCACAAGAACTTGATATTCAATCCTATTGTGAATATACATCTTAAAACACAGAAACAAACATCAAATAAAATGGTTTCTTTTGACAGAAAAAAAGATTGTCACAAAGTTAAAGAGAATTTTCAATTCAACTGATAAATCAAAATGAAATGCTTTGTAGAAAAATGATAATCATATGAGATCAAAAACTTTTTAAGAAATAACTTCGTTTATATTATTGAAATCGTGAGTCAATCTAAGTTAGACCAACATTGAAAACCTGGAAACATTGAACGGCCGTTTTTCCTAGTATGGAACTCCTCAGCAGTGAGCATTCACGATCTTGAGTGCAGGAATCCTGAATTCGGTCTCGTGAGCGAACGTTTAATCCCTAGACCACTGAGCCGGCATCCAACGACTTTAATGTTTAGCTTCAACCAATCCACGTTCGGTGCTTCAAGGTTTCCAATGTTGATCTAGCTTAGATAGGTTAACGATTTTAATGAAATCCAACAATCTCCACAACCCCATATAATGAGAACTTTATATATATCATAATTAAAATTAAAAAATGAATGTGGCTAGCAGTGGAATGCAGGACACGTGTTTCTTCCTATCTGGGGCTCGTCATTTGCATGTACTTGCATCCCAGAGTTGATGTTCACTCTAGGACTCGAACACAGTACCGTGTGCTTCAAACGCAATCGGGTTATCCATTTAGCTACTGAGTTCAGATAGCCCTTAGCTTGTGCAATGGGATGAAGTTTTGATTCATTTTTGTATTGTTTGTTTGAATCTCCTCATTGATGTTTATGACCGCAATCGCTTACATCTAAATGGTTTAAGAAAACAGTCATCAGACCATTTTTTTAGATTGTCTTGGTTAAAAGATAAATCTTTTCATACATGGATGGTGTACGAAAGCGAAGCAAACGATAGCAATGACAGAGTTCACATCGATAGCTTAAGATCAACTAGCTTGTCATATTATCATTCAAGATGTAAGAATCATCTGCTTTCCAGTTTGATTTAAATTAGTGAATGTTGTGATTATGAATAAATATGTGACTAGGTTGATAGCTGAATTTCATAAATTAATTAGTAGCGAAGTATTTCAATCGCTTGAAGGTTCCTCTGCTTCAAGTCCTACCATAATCCAGGTTCTCTTTCATTCTCAATCATTGTCTCGATATTATAAATAATATATAATAAATAACCATAAAAAGTATAAATCACCTAATACCTTAATAAAATTTCTTATCATATAAATAAAATCAACAATCTAATAAACAAACAAAGATGCATAGTGGCTAGCAGTGGAATCCAGGACGCTCGTTTCGTCCTGTTTGGGACTCGTCAGCTGGATGCACCTGCATCTCAGTGTTGATGTTCACTCTAATAAATATGATCAAATATATGACCTTAATAACGACAACTTTTTAAAAAAATACTCAATGTAATCTCATAAATTTGTCACAATAAATGAAATCTCTGTACTATATTGACATTTACAGCAAAAGGGAATTCATAATCAAAGATTTAATTATAAAATAATCTTATTGTTAATCAATTAGATTGATTTGAAAATTTATCTAATGGTACAGTTAATAGAAAAATAACCAAAATGGTTAGACAACACCAGAAAAACGTCCCAACGAATATATAATAAAATTAATTTTTGTGAAAAGAAAACGTTATTGAAAAATTGGTTATTAATAATAACTACAAGTGACCAATACGATCAGTTTGCTAAAATGTGTTGTTTTTTTTAGTGTAAGTGTTATCGATATCAACTGATCATTTCTGAAGTCTAAAAGATGAAAGATGTCAATGATGTTCACTACTACTGTAGTGAACGAGAACCTAAGTAGAGAAAGCCAATTTATTGTGAAATGCAAAATTACACAGTGATTTCGGAAAATATGAATATCATACATGAAATACATCATTTGAACATCTTCCATCAGTTTTCATTTACATACTTCATAATTCTTACAATTCCGTTGTTATTTCAAATGCTTTCTGTTTTCCACCCCGTTCTCCTCAGTTCAATCTTCCACTAGCAGGCATTCCACTTTCCGATATCTGCTACATATTACTTTTATCTGAGAGTATAAGGAGTATACACCACGCCATCACTACTGGTCAATGGGAAATCGTTGTCCAATAAATCGTAAATGGTATTATCAATCATTGCACTGTTTAAGGAATCACCTGTCGAATGTATTCCTAAATATCTTATAGAATAAATGGATTATGTCTAACAATGGAATTAAGAAAGTGTGTGCTGTCTTATCTAAGATTAAGTTAGCTGGATTTAACTACGCTCGATTAGTGATGTCCACATTGAAAACTCGATAATGCATCAAGTCAGTTCGTCAGCTACAAGTAGGACCAAGCACATATACGCATCGGTCCAAGTTGCCAAAAATCATTAACACACCAAGATAAACACCAAATTCACAGAAGTATTTACTTCAATGGTAGTAATATATAAAAGAAAGGTTGCGTATAAGGATGTGACATACGGGAGAAAAAATTAGTTAGTAGAAAGGTATAAAGTAAATTTAATCTCACGTTTAGAGGAAAATAAAGAGTACATACACCAACTCCATCGTGATCGAACTTGTGCCATGTCACCAAGTCTCCAACCATCCGTTACAATAGTCGCGTAGACCCCAACCAAGTAGTCTGCATCTACTAACATGGCTAAGACCAGAAGTCAGTGACTTCAAGCACTGATGACACATCTTGGTTTGGCCACCCCTCACTTTCTTCCAACCGTCTCCAACACTAGTCAGCATTGCACGTCGTGGTAATCGGTGATCAGGCATCCGTAACACGTGGCCCAACTATCTCAGTCGATGAAGATTCACAATCCACCAACTGATTCACCATCACTCCCTAATACCGTGCGTCTAACCCCACTATTACTTAACCAGTGATCCCAGCAGATACGAGCAATATTTCTTAGACATTTATGGTCGAATGCTGGTAGCTTACGGCTGTTTTCTACTCTTCATGGCCACGTTACGCAGCCGTAAAGTAGAACAGAACGAAATGCTGCACAGTATACTCGTTCCTTAATTGATAGACCGATATCTCGCCCTCGCCATACGTGACGTCAGTTGGCAAAAGCTAAACGAGGTTTTCGAATCCATGCTGAGATTCGTCAGACACCGACCACTTAGGGCTGATCAAACTTTCAAGATAAGTGAAGTTGTCATATGGACCAGCTGCTCATCCTCGTTTCAGATTAGCTATGACCTACTTCAGTGTTCCGTCCAGGCTGTTTGGGAATGGTGGGTAGTTGTGGAGTAGCTGAAGGCCAGCTGAACTGCTCTTTAAAGTGCATCGTCCATCGTTTTAAATGCCTGGGCTGAGAGCAGATAAATGTCGTCTTTTTCCGAGATAGTCTCGCTTACACTTAACTTCATAACTCCAGTTTCTTCTATTAGCCTGATAAGCTGTCTGGTGTTACATACAGCCGCTGCCTTTCCCATCCCTTTTGCTTTCGTCGCTCACCACCGCTCAGGGTCGTTCCTTAGACTTTTGGTTAACCTAGATCTGATTTGTTATTGCACTTTATCGTTTTTGGAGTCAGATGGCGTTAGTTTACGAGAATCTATCAGTGCAATAGACTTAGTGGAAATCCACTGGTTTTTCGTGACCTCTTGGTTCACATCACTAATAGATGTCGCTGCTGTTTATACAACTGTTTGTATAAAATTCCAAGCAACGTCCGTGTCAGCTTCATTTTCAGAACTGCCTAGGTGTGATCTCAGTTGTTCCTGGAATCTACTTTTGGCTTTCTCGTCACTGAGCTCAACTCCAATCGGTTTTCTTAATGTGGATTTTCCTGCGTCCAGTGAGGCGCAAACAAATGCGTGCTCGTATTAGAGCATGATCAGAGTTTAATGCATCCTCTTACAAATAATGACACTTTTAAATCCATAGATACTAAACAACGCAATATTTCAGGATACTCAACGAGTGGTAACGCACCCGATTGTCTAAATCAAGCAGGTTGAAGAGAACTTTTAAACAAATATTGAAATGTTGAACAGAAAATAAATATCTACAATTATTAAGTCATATGGGCGTACATTTGACTACTCACTATATTTCACAACCTTTTACAAACGAATTTGACTGTTACTTTGTATATAAATGACTTTCTTTGTAAAAAAAAAAAAGAGAAATTCAGTAAAAATACATACAGGATTTTTTTTAAAAAACTCCATATTTATATGTTTAGGACAAATTACAGTATTTCTAAACATTAGAAATACTGAGTTATTCAAAATAAGTGAGATATTGATGGTATATTATATTACGGATACAAAGAAGAGAGACTAAAGTGTATATAGTTAGTAGAAATTATGAAAATTAACGAAAAAAAGCATATAATCTACACAATGTATGTTAAACTAGTTACACCTTTTTCACACACTGAAAAAAAAGAATAAATAAAGCATACCTCTGCGTCCTGAATGATTACAGAGATTAGAACCCCACCAACACATATGGGAAGGTATTATAAAAAATAAGTTGGAAATAGGCAAAAATGACGATTTAGAGTATCATCATTAAAATAAATAATAAACAACACATATAACCGAACAATATTGTTTTTCATT